TGCCACTAATGAGGTTATCCTTTGTACTGCATCTTTCCTGCCTTTAGCTGTTCCTTATAATGTCCCTTTGGTCCTATATTAAATAAATGGAGTAGGGCTATAAGTAAACTATTTTACTTACAAATGGAGCTTTACACAGGCTACTGTTTCTTAGCTCAAGCTGTGTCTGTTTCTTTCCCAGAACTAAAGAAGAACACTTTGTAGGCCTGAAATCTCATGTAATATCTCCCCCAATTACAGTTGATCCAATAAAAGATATCACCCACAAAAAATCTTCACATCCTAGTAGGAAATCTGCATGACGTTCCAGATATATCATGTAGTTTTCAGCTGACTGCTAAGATATATCAAAGACACCTCTGGCATCTAATATAAGCTGTCATTTGGTACACACCATCTCCAGATTGGTTCCTTAGGGCCCCTATACACGTGCAAGTAAAGGCATCATTGCATCTAATGTGTGATTTACACAATCATGCCTCCTGCCATGCCACACGTGCATGGCACAAGGCATGATTGTGGGATAGCACATTAAGGCCAGCTGCACCTTATTGCTGGTGAAGGCGAAGCCTGAACCTAGGCTCCCACTGCATCTGCAAGCAGGCATCTATAGCTGAGAACCCTGCTTTGCTGAGGGGGCTCCCAGCAGTGAGGCCATGTGCAGCTGGGACCCAGAATCCTGCACTTGATGGGGATCTGAGCCCTAGCTGCACCTCATCCACATCTGAGACCCAGAGTCCCATAACTGATGGGGCTCTGGGTCCCAGCTGGGGGTGAGGTGCAGCTGGAACCCAGAGACCCATCAACTGCAGGACCCTTGGTCCCAGCTGCAGGTGGGACCAAGGGAGCTTTTTGGAGCTTTTTATTGTGTGATAGCTACTTTGCATATGTAGCTGGTCTCAAGTAATTATGCAATACTTGTAACATGTACAAAGGGCCTCTAAAAATGTTTTTATTTCCAGAATTTTATTATAGTGAACTTATTTGAACCTTTCATCCAAAAACCTTATTTTGTGTATTGTATGTAGTTTGCCTATATAACTCTCTCACCTCTGAAATGTAGGCAGATGTGAACACAAACCACTTCTGCACAACAGTTTAAGTCAGAAAATGAAAAGTACACCATCCAGTGAAAACTGAAAAGGGATATTTACATAGTAAAGTATAACTTGTTTCCTAGAAAATGTATTATTTTCATGGATTAGACAACATACTTTTTGAAAGAGAGTTTGGAATGCCAGGCGATTGTCTAAGAAAGGAAAAAATGATATTTCATTCTAAATATAAATAAATATAAGATATACATATCCTGAGAATACAAACATAGTTGTCATAATCATTGAGTGCCTAAAAACTTACTGTAGATTTTAATAAATACTAGAAGCTTGTATTTTAGAGGAGTTAGCACAAAGCTCCATAGGTATTGAAAGGAAAACATATTTTCTCAAACAGAAACACAAGCCCAGCTTAGTGCAAAGTTAAAAGGTACTAACTTGACTGCTTTTTCTCTGCTCCTGCATGGCCTCCTCAACAGCTTGAGCAATCTTCTCTTTGTCCTTGGTACGTTCTGCCTGCCATATTTCTCTTTCCTCTGCATGCATTTTCTCCATGTTTTTTCTTTCTTCTTCAACTGCTTTTAAAATGGCCTCCTGCATTGCTTCTTTTTCAGTCTTTGAAACAAATGAAGTAAAAGTGAATGACAAACAAAAGCACAAACAAATGCCTGAGTAAAGCGAATTATTTCCTTTAGCCAGGATTGGCAGGTTTACAGGATATAATTGTGATAGGACAGTAGGGGGCACTCCTGCTTTGAGCTGCCCACCTTACTGCACCCAACCAAAAACCCCACTTTGAGTACCTCCCCCGGGGCACCTGTGTCTGGCCAACCCCCTTCCTGGAGCACACCCGCAAGCCTGAGGTAACCACTGCTACCACCTAGGTCTAGGTTTTGTTTGGACTCTGTGCCCCACGGGGTACACAGACCTTGTGGACCTTGAGGGTGCTTAACCCACCGTGAGATTTTGGGGTGCTTCCTTTAGCCTCATGCATTCACAAGTTGTCTCCTGCACAGGAGGAGTGGTCCCCCAAAGCTGATCCCTTCCCTCTTAAGCACACACTGTGTGGCATTCTTAGACAGATAGATTTATTGATTAAAGAGGGATGGGGTGGGGAAAGAATACAAACCACAGAATACTAAAAGGGGAACTGCCTTGAGTTAATCCTGGGCTTGTTTAACTCTTTTGATACACGTCTAGAACACTCAGTCCTAAATTAGTGCCTAGGTTTCTGGTAGGTTACTCACAGTTCCATCCAGAGACTGATGGAGGCCGCATGGCTTACTGGCTGTGCCCCCAAAATGTCTGCCCTGCTTCCAGGAAGCAGGGACCCTACATACACCTGTCATGACCTCGACACTAAATTCCAACCAGCAGCAGATCCATTGGCTGCTGATTGGTGCTTCCAAATGACATCAGCCCTTACCAGGTTAGATGGCTAATCACATGACCTGCAGAGGTGGGAAACTGAGACAAAAGAAGGAGCAGATTTCCCCTCCCTTTGGAATTTTACCTGCCTAGGTAACCTGACTGACCAGCAGTACCATGAAGAAACCCAGGAAATACAGGGGTCACTTGGTTTGTCCCAAGAGGAGAACCAGAGAGAGGGAGGTTTCTCCACAATAATGAAAGATTCACGTCAATGCCATCAGTACAAATATCCAGAGGGAATATCCATGGAACAGCTATTTTATAATTACCATGGAACAGCTATTTGATAATGAAAAATGAGTCGGAGATGATGAAGTGTTTAAATTCCTACCCGTTCAAATCAAATATAAAAAGGCAAATGCAGTTTGGAAGGGAGAAGGCTGAGGGAGGATATGATAGAGTTGTACCTGAAGAAGGACTTTTTGATGCCTTTAATTTTTGTCGCTAGCCTGAGTTCTAATGATGATTTGGCCTTCCTAACTGATTCCCTGCAAGTGCAAGCCAAGGAGGTATACTCCTCCTTGGTAGCTACCCCCTGCCTCCACAGCCTGTATGCCCCTTTTTTTGCCCTTAGGCTTTCCTGGATTTCCCTGCTTAGCCAGGAGGTTTTCTTACCCCTTTGCCCCCTTTTCTACACAGTGGGATTGCCTCCTTCTGTGCACAAAGGATCACTTCCTTGAGGAACAACCACCCTTTCTGCACCCCGATTTTGTCAATGCCCCCGCTAACTAATTTCCTAAGCACCCTGAAGTCAGCCTTTCTGAAGTCTAGCACTTCCGCCCTGCTGGTTACTTTTCTCACCCTTTGCTGAATAGTGAATTCAATCAATTGATGGTCACTATCCCCTAGGTAGCCTTGTACCTGCAGATCCCCACCAGATCATCCCCCGTAGCCAGCACTAAGTCCAACAAGACGTTTCCCCTAGTGGGACTGTATACCTCCTGCATCAGGTGGAGGTCCTGTATGCAGGTTAATAATCTACGGGAGCTATTGGTTTCAGCTGACTGATCCTTCCAGCAGATGTCAGGGTAGTTTAGGTCACCCATGACAACCATGTCTCTTGACGGTACAACCTCTGAGAGCTGCCCTGAGAATTCCAGGTCTAGCTCAACCTCCTGGTGTGGTGGTCTGTAGTAGCCAACTCTCCCTCCCACCTCTGTGGGTGGGGGAGTTCCCACCCTCAGGGGTGCGACCCTATGCAAAAAGCCTGTAGAGTACATGCCAGCTATCCAGATTGCAGGGCAGGGACAGATCCAGAAGTGGGATCTGGGGGGAATGGGAAGGGAACAAGATAAGGGCCAAATTGGTTCCTAATGAGCTAGGGCTTTCATCCTGGGGCAGAAGTAGCAGCTCCCCCAGAAGTGCGTTCTCTTACTGCTCCCATCTCCCAGTCACCCCAGGAAGCACAACCAGCACCCCCTACGCTACAATCACAATCACAATTTATTAAAGCATGTTACCTTCTTTAATTCACTTCCACTTTATTTCTTTTTAATTTATTTTTTTTTACTTCTTTTTATTTTTTCACTCAGTGGCTAACTTGAACTTGGCATGAGGTTCAATGAGGAGAAGTTCAGTCCTGCACTTAGGAGGGAACAATCCCATGCACCGGTACAGGCTGGGGACTGACTGGCTAAGCAGCAGATCTGCAGAAAAGGACTTGGGACTTACAATGGATAATAAGCTGAATATAAGCCAACAGTGTGCCTTTGTTGTGAAAAAAGAGAATGGCATATTGGGCTGCATTAGCAGGGGTATTGTCAGCAGATGGAGGAAAGTGATTTTTCACCTCTATTCTGCACTGCTAAGGAGACATCTGGAGTACTTTGTCCAGTTTTGGGCCCCCCACTACAGAAACAATGTTAACAAATTGAAGAGAGTCCAGAGGACAACAAAACAGGTTAAGGGCTTGGGAACAAGACTTATGAGGAGAGGCTGAGGGAACTGGGCTTATTTAGTCTGCATATGAGGTAACTGAAGGAGGTTTAATAGCAGCCTTCAACTACCTGAAGGTGGTTCCAAAGAGGATGGAGCTAGACTGTTCTCAGTGGTGGCAGGTGACAGAACAAGGAGCAATGGTCTCACGTTGCACCAAGGGAAGTTTAGGTTAGATAGCAGAAAAAACTTTCTCACTAGTATAGTAAGGCACTGGCCCAGGTTACCCAGAGAAGTTGTAGATTCTTTATCCTTGAGGTTTTTAAGATCCAGCTAGACAAAGCTTTGGCTGGGATGATCAAAGCTTTGGGGATGGTCCTGCTTTGGGCAGGGGGGTGGACTAAATGACCTCCTAAGGTTCCTTCCAACACTAATTTTCCATGATCCTATGACTTCCTTCATTTCACCACCCAACACCCATCCCTATTTCCTTTTCACCTTCCATTTCATTACCCACCCACATCCCATTAACTCTCTGCCACCCACCTTCGTAACCCTACCCCCTGCTCTACCCACCTGTGCAATACACCCCACCTAGAGCAGGGTTAAAGGCCTGTCCTTGCTCACCAGTCCTGCAGTGGCAATTCACAGCTATAGCTCCTAGTCTGCTCCCGCTTGCCAGCCCTCTAGTGGCAAGGCACAGCTGTGCAGGAGGGGGACAGTCAGAGAAGGTTTTTAATCTTAAGGTATGATTGCTCCAAACTCAAGCTAGCACTAACACTGATCAACCTTTGAGCAGCCCAAAGCGCAATGCGTAACAAGGACCTTACTGTGTTGTGCTCAGACAATTCTCTCTATATAAAAGCCTTAGTCTATCTGCCTATAACGCTTTATTTGCACTCTGACTGGCTGGCTTGGCAGCCAATCAGAGTGTGAATAAACTGGAAGGGACAGCAGGTGGTGGAGTGCCGCCATGATGGTGGGGACAGGGCAGGCCAGCACAGCTGGCCTCCCCCCTGCTCCGTGGAGGAGACGGTGGCAGCCCGAGGGGGTGGGTAACAGGGTCAGGGCCACCACAGAGGGGTGGGGGGAATGGGGAGGACCAGCCCTAGACATGAACACATACCTCCAGGGGGGAACGGAGTCAGGCCCGAATGGGGAGGTGGGGCCAGACGAGGGGAGCAGGGTCACAGAGCCAGACGCTGGGCTCTGTCCCTGTCAGCCCAGTGGGGTGGCGTGGGGGGAGTGGCTCCAGCTCTGGTCCCAAGGAAGCAGGGGCAAGAGAGCCTGTCCTCAGGCCTCTGTCCCCACCCAGCACTCCCCCCACTGGCAGGCACCAGTGGTGGTGGAACAGACAGTGGGGTGGGCACTAGCTCCATCCCCACTGCTCCCTGCAGGCCGCAAAAATGGAGCAGATGGAGGGGGAAGCGGGGGGGGGGGGGGGCAAAGCCAGAACCCCTGGCCATCGCCCCCCCCG